AATCGTGATTGAGACAGAGGTCGTATTGTCTTGGTCAGAGGACGTCATTTTTTGTGACGTTTACTTCGTGCGTTTAGAAACCCTTAGGCTCCACCGTGGGCGCCAATTGTTAAATCCTAAATCCGGGAAAGGATAGTTGAAATCTTAAACAAGTAATCGATTGGTTAAAGAGAAGGGACCAAAGGTTTCGTTTATTGAAGTGTGTGTCAAGTAAAACTAGAGAGGAAAAATACAAAGAAGAACTCATCGTCACCGACGAACTAATGATTTTATCTCTCTCTTTCTTTCTTTCTCTCTCTAGTTCCTGCTTCTCTTTTTCTCCCTTTGTGTCGAACGCTTTCCTCCATATTTATAGATCGGAGTTGTGTGGTTTCAGGTTCGCCATTATGGCCTTCTGATCATCTACAGTAATTGGCAGGTCGTCTGGGGAGTAGGTCCGGCAGTATGGCCGAAATGATGACCTCCTGCTGCTCCGGTGGCGTGTGTCAGTCTTCAGCAGGGGATCTGGTGAGACGTCGCGTCTGAAACGGCGTGGGGCTTCGTGTTAGGGCCTTTCTTCATCCAAGTGATCGGGCCGCGGTAGTCTCCTGGGCCGAGTCGACTTCTGGGCCATGGTCCTTTGATCTGGGCCCATATCCAACACTCATGTACACAACAAGTTCTTCTCTATACCCTAGAGTTCATGATGGATTTTGACGGTAATAAAACCACGCAAGCAATATCATAGTGTCCAGACCAAGGTGGCTTAAGGAATGAGTGAGTCTCTCCAAGATTGACTAGAAGAGGAAGATAAACATCGTGCAACAAGTGCTTGGGCAAGAGGGTGGCAAAACCATGCCAGAAGACTACGATCCGAAGTGGAGAAAATCAGTCGATTCGACGAGAACTCTCCAAAAAACTCCCCCATGATTCCAAATATGAACAAGGGAGAAGCAAACCAATGATAATAAACGTCCCAAGAGACGATGGTCGGAGTAATTGAATAGAACAATATCGAAGAATGGATGGAAATATATGCCATTTGATGATGAACCCAAACATAAAAAGAAGAATCATACAAATCATATTATTACTGTGGAAACAAAAGACAGAAAAGCATGAAAGAAATCGGCAGCCGAAACTGCCAGCGGTGCTTGAGAGTGAAAAAGTATGTGTTTGAAGAATCGCTCGGTAATTCACCCTCGGCGAGAAAGCAGTTTCCACTTCTTATCAACTTAGAAAGAATTTAATATAAAAAAATCAACTTCAAAAAAAACTGTTCTTCTATATGATTAGTAAGTCTATATTATTTGTCACATTTATTCTGCATGTCTGTTTTTAAATTGCCAAAGAGAACGTGCAAAAACCTGACTAGTGCAATGGCTAATTTCTGGTGGAATGCACAAGAAGGAAAAAAAATGCATTTGGTATCTTGGGAGAGAATGTGTTTGGATAAGAAGGATGGTGGGCTGGGGTTTAAAGATATCGAAAAGTTCAATCAGGCTCTATTGGCAAAACAAGGGTGGCGGTTACTTATGGAGCCAGAATCTCTATGTGCACGAGTGTTGAGAAGTAGATACTACCCATCTGGAGTATTCTTGGAAGCACGTTTAGGCTCTAGACCCTCATATGTGTGGAGAAGCATAACTTGGGGCCGAGAGCTGCTGGTAAAGGGTTTAAGGCGCAATGTGGGATCAGGAAAAAACATTAACGTATGGACAGAGAAATGGCTATTTGTGACTGAGCCAGTGGTTCCAATGCGGAAACAGAGATTTTTTTATGTTAACCTGAAGGTGTGTGATCTCATTAATCCACATACACGATCCTGGGACAGAGGTAAGCTTGAGGAGGTTTTTCTCCCATATGACATCGAGCTAATCATGAAGTTAAAGCCGGCTTTTGGAAAAGAGGATTCTTATGAATGTGTACACAATAGATAGGGAGCTTACTCAGTGAAATCGGGCTATTGGCTGGCTTGTTCGATTGATCGTTCTGACGTGAGAGTGTGGGTTCAATGGAAGCCTTCTGTAAAATGATTTGAGAAGCCAAGTGTGAAGGTTAAAACGGCTCCAAAGATTAAAATCTTTATGTAGAAGGCTCTCTCCTGAAAGGGTCAACTGAAGTGTAATGTTGGGATCTCCTGGTCTAAAACGTCATCTACGGCTGGGATGGGATGGATTGTTAGGAGTAGTTATGGAGGTACGATGGTTCATAGCAATAGAGCTTTTAGTGGGGTCTCATCGCTTTTGGAGGCAAAACGTTTGTGTATGATTTGGGTCGTTGAGAGTATGATCTCGCACAAAGTTCAGAATGTAACTCTCGAAATTGAGGCTAGTGAATTGGTGGGATCGGTTAATAGACCATAAGAGTGGCTGGCGTTTTGGGCATATGGAGTGGAGATAAAGGAATGAGTAAGCAAGATTGCAGAGTGGAAGGTGTGCTCTGTAATGAGAGAGGCGAACAAAGCCATTTTTCTGATTGCCCGGAGTGTGACAAAGGAGAAGAGATTTCAATCCTATGTTGCTCAAGGTTGTCCTTCTTGGCTTAGAAGCTTACTTGCGGAGGAAGGTACGAGGAACCGCTGAGGTTAAGGTTTGCTGGTCGGCTGTTTTTGTCTCTTTATTTGGATGGAGTGGTGTTTGTGGTGGAAGCTGGGTTTTAGGCCAAGCTTTCTTTTCGATTTTTTGTTTACTCCTATGTTTGGCTATTGATGTGTCGAGAAACAAGTTCATAAGATTATGCAATCAGTTTTTGAGTTTAAAAAAAAAAATTTTGGTCAATCGAGATTATCTACAGAAACTATAACAAAATATCTATTAGACATTTTAATAGGCTTCCAGAATATTTTTTTGGGGATTAACATAGAATATCTTAAATTTATAGGATAGTTCAGACTAATTTTTAAAGTGGAAGCGTAACCTACATGAATCATTTCTCTAGATTCCACATGATAAAATGTAAGGGGAGGTCTTCAAACCCGCCTACCACTAAACTGTTATCCATGGTTACTGCGTCGATATTGTTGGCAGGCACTGTCACCCTTCACGATTATTTGTCTTCTTGTGTTTCCTTTTATAGAATTTGTCTTCTTTCATTTCAAATTTAAATCATCAACCGTATGTTTTTATATCTAACTATATTCATCAGTTACCAAAATATAAATGATGAATAGATCTCAATTATCTTATATTAGACAATGTAATGGGAAAGGGTCAAAACTTGAACATTTTCTTTCGTGACCATGAAAAAAGTCACTAGGGGTATTAGACACACAGAATGTTGTTCTACAGTTCACTTTTTTGCATAGTGAAAATCCTTCTTTGGAATCATTTTCATCATTGACCAACGTTTTTGAATATAAGGATCGTGGTGTCTACTGTGTCTAGGTCAAAAAACGATTCGTAAATACTAATCTTACACTTATATGTTATATACTCCATCCATTTTAAATTACTTGTCATTGTAGAGTAAAATTTTTGTTTTAATATAAATGTCGTTTTTATAATTTCAATGCAAAATTTATTAACGTTATATATTATTTTATATTTTATTGGTTGAAAAATAGTTAGGTGTATAGAAAATTATGTTTGTATCTTAAAAAAATGTAAAATTAACTGTCTTTTAATCTGTGTGTAAAAATTTAAAACGACAACTAAACTTAAACGGATGGAATAATATACTCCCCCCCCCCCATTTCATTTTAGTTGTTGTTTTAAGTTTTTGCACATAGATTAAAAAAATAATTAATTTTACATATTTTCAAAATAAAAACACATTTATCTATATAGCTAGCCACATTTCAACCAATGAAAAAATGACATTTCAAATCAATAAATTTTTCATTGAAATTATTAAACAATACTTAATTTAAAACAATTTTTTTTTCTAAAATGATATCTAATTTGAATCATAGAGAGTAATAATCTGTTATAATAAAGTTGTGCGATTCCGATGTGGTAATATTGGCCGGTAAAATTTAGTAAAAACTATATTGGTCGGTAATAGCATTAATGTTAAGAGAATAAATGGAGTATCTAAAACTTGTGGCTGAAATTAATAGATGCAGTTTATAAAATTGTGGTTAAAAGTGGACTACTATTACCCTACCCATGTGTATGTTTAAGTAGGTCAAAAAGTTAACAGAAAAAAAAAAAAAAAAAAAAAACGAGTAGGTCAAATACAAGTGCTCAAGTTTAGCATAACAGTATACTGCGCCAGGTGAATTCAAGAAAACATTCTTGGTGGAGTTGTCGCAGTCGGAGCCATGATTTAAAAGGATTAAAAGGTTTAAGAAATAAAAGTTCATCAAAGCAATAAGAAAATAAAAATCTGATGATTAAGTATTTCATTAAATTACAAAAAAAAGGGCCACTATTTTTAGCAATCTTTTGTTTTATTTCTTGTTTGCCATGAATGATTTCAACGATGATCAGTGAAAGTGTATTTATGCGGCGACCAAACTCTCCAATTTGTTAATAGAGGTCGTCATAAGTCATAACTGATCTTCATTTTACCAGTACCACTTTTTTTTTGTTATTCGGGAAAAAAATATAATTACATTTTTTAATTTTTGCTCACTATTTTGTCTTTTGTTACTCTTTCTAATTATCTCTTACGTGTTCGAAGTATTAATGTCAGAATATATACTTCAAAGCATTATTTCTTTTATGGGGGATATTGATGAATTTAAGTAGATTTTCTAAGTAAGAAATTAAGAATAACACTGATTCTGATTTTGTTACATGGCAGCATAATCTATATACGGTAGTGGAAAATGGCAATAATTTAAAGAATAGCAAACTGTGAAATTAATAACTAAAATGTCAAATAATCACGTAACTATTTTGATTTTGTTATTTACAAATTTTAATTAATGGAAATGCGGAATAAATTAATTAGAATCTGGATCTGAAGAGTTGTGTAATATTATGCATGTTACTAATCAAAGATGTAACGTATTAATACGTTACCAACAAATTTAAGATATACAAAGAAGAGAGAGTAGATACAGAAACATGCTCAAGAACTAAGTTTATATTATTTAACTTCAATACATATACTGTGGATACTTTATAATATACTAATATATGATCATCACCAACTTTATATTCGAGAAAGAACCAAAACCCAAAAACCCCTCGATCTTTTCTGTTAATACAAAGAAAACACAAGCCACAATCTCATTCCGATAACTCTCTTACAAAGTTGTTGTTGTCGTCGTTGTTCTTGTTAGATTTCAGTTCACATACAAGTTGTCGGAGTTCAGAAGCTTCTTCTTTGAGTTTAGAGTTCTCCTTCAATACGCTACCTTGAGTCTCGGATACGCGGTTCAGCTTATCAATAAGACAGTTGTTCTCGTTGCGAAGCCTTATCACCTGAGACCAGAGTTCGTCAAGATGTCTCTGTTTCCTCATCCTCGATCTCCTAGCGGATTCTCTGTTTGAAAGCATCCTCCTCTGTTTCCTCTCGTCGAGTACGATGATGCTCTGATGCTGATGATCTTCGTCGGAAGTTGAGTTGTTGCTTAACATGAGATCTTGACCGTTGGATGATGAAAAATAGTTGTTGTTGATGAGATCGTTTAGGTAGGTTAAGGAAGAGGAAGATGTTGGAGATGAGGGCATGTCTATTATGTTGAATTTCGCCGGTAGTGTTGTTAACTTTTCCGGCGATAGATACTGATAATATCTGGTGATTTCTGCCGGAATCATTGATTTTATTTGGTTTGTGTAATTTTGTTTGTGAGAGGAGGAAGTTAGAGGGTTTTATAATGTTAGAGAGTTACAAAAGGAATGCATCATTTAGAAGTAGGTCCTGTGGATAGTGGGTATGTAGAGCATATTATATAAAACTCAGTTTTGGTAAATATTTAATATTACACCAAATTTCCAAATTTATGAGAAAAATTACAAAACTATATACTCCATAGTAGAACGCTAATAACTAAACTAGTTAATAGAATCTAGGACGATAATGAACTGAATCGAAAATAATAGCGGAACCAAACTTAAAAACCAGCTAAACAATGAGAGAGGCACGGAGTAAAGAAATTGGTATTGATCCAAGGAAAGAACTGGACAACGGTTCATGCAGTTTCCAACAACTTTTCCCAAACATGATCATTTGTAAGAAAAAATTGTAAATAATAAATCGTAAATTTATATATATGCAGAAGAGTGGAAAACCACACATGACTCATAGATAATTTGAACAAAGGGAAGATTTTGACGTACTTTTACAATTTAGTGACAGAACTTGATATGATGTTTTATCAAAAAAAGAACTTCATATGATTACTTAATGTTCAAAGCTTCTTCGTTAGAGTTAGCTCTCGCCCATGCTTAGTGCTTGGAGTGTTGTTGCTGTGAGCCTCTCACTCTGAGTCCTTAGCTTCACTACATAAGATGGTTTTAACCTATCCTAAAACTATTTGGCCTCAAATTTAAAATTAGTTGGTAATAGGTGGATTTGTTCATCTATCTTGTATATTATTAAACTTTATTCTAACTTTTGATGTGGGAGACGTAGTCTCTAGTACATTTCCTTGAGATGATGATTATTTAAATGTCAATTTCAGAATGTTTGAATAAAAATCGATAGGTCAACTTTCAGCCGGAACGATGTAGATTTGATTGGACTGTTTAGATCTGGTTCTGATACTATATTAAGTTAGATGAATTTTTGACCTAAACACAACTGGTGATATTTACTTAAAATTTATTCCAACTTTTGATGCTTGAGGCTTGGTCTATTGCATGCGTTGCCTCAAGTAAGTTGTTGAAGCTTCTCTGATTCTCCTCTAGCATGTATCTTTTGCGTATATCTTGTATGACCCATTCTGAGCAAAGTCTGATGATCTTCAAACTATAGAAACTTTTATTCAAATATATTTTGAAATGATCAGATCTTTCAATTTCAACAATTGACCATGTTTGCATCCTTGTACGCGATTTTAGTTGAGCAGGTTTGTGTCACCTATTAGCTTGGCGTTGGTTATTTCTGGTTGTTGTTATGGTTGTTTATTGACCATGGTTGATGTTATGGTTGTTTTGGTTTTGTGATGTGATCTTACTTGTCCTTCTTGGTTTGGAGGATTTAAGTGGTCTCTAAATTATTGTTTTTAGTTAGGTTCACCTTCTTGATCTAAATGGGTTCTTGCCATTAATTTTGTTTGGATATGTGAAGCCTTCCTTCCTTTTTTTACCTTTTAATAAATTAACTAGATTTTGACTCGGACAAACACACATATATTTTTTCAAATTAAATTGAGGAAGTTGTAAACTATGTCGGTTGCGTATTTCGTTTTGCATGGTGAAACAATCAAATTGATATCTTAGATAAGTAATTTATAATTTGATAATTTTATACAAAGCAGAGAATTTTCTAGTGTTTTGTTTGTAGAATATATTCACTTAGTTTTTAATATATGACGTTTTAGAGAATTATTTTCACTTCAAATTAGATGACATTTTTAATTTTCAATGCAGGTTTATTCATTTTTATTTTTATATAACTTTTTCTGTTCTCAGTTAGCATTTTTATATGTTGAATTATGATTAGGTGAATAGTTAATGATATTTTTGGTTAGATAGAATAGAAAATTAATTTCTTTCTTTAATTTGTGTGAAAAAAATCAAATTGAAGTAAAAAAAAAAAGTATAATTTCGTTGATTATATATATATTAGTATGTCTATATTTGTAAATACATTTGTTTCACAGACAAAAATATGTTATATTTTTCTCTATTATATAAATTAGAATTTATTTCTATGTCAAATTATTTTTCAATTTATATTTAACGTTTGAACCTCCTTCTAGAGAATGGTATTAAATATATTTAATTTATTTATATGATTATTAACGAATTCTATTATATGTTTTCTAATAGTATTAATTTGATAAAAAATGTTAATAATATTAAAGAACAATCACATATGGTGATGCTTTTTTGATATCATCAAAATAATAACATTGATAATATGTTATGGTTGCATAACATAATACTAAAAATAATATACACGATCATCTGTATATAATCATATATATGATTGCATAACTTAGGATTTTTTTTGTTTGTTTTGTTAACGAAGTATCTATAAAACAGTTAATGGCCTACAAAATAATTATATAGGTTGTTGATAATTATTCGATTAATAGGTCAAATTTTTTTTTTTATAAATCAGTTGATATATTTAATTTATTGTTCTTGAATACATATTTTTTATTTTAGCATAGAAAAAAATTTGAGATCCTTAAAGATATTATATTGTTGGTTTATTAAAATATTAATAAAAAAATTAATTTATTATTTTTGAATATAATTTTTTTATTTTAGCATAGTCAACAATTTTGAGATTCTCCTTAAAATAATATATTGTTGGTTTATTAAGATATTAATAAGAGATATTTGTGATTATCTTTATTATAAAAACTAAATGATAGGATAATTAAATGTAATGATTTTCTAAAAATAGTCTCAAAATCAAATATCAGACATGAAAAAATTTTGACTTCTGTTTTAATATATAAGATCAATGCTTCATTCTATTTTTTTTGTAGGTTGGTGGATGCTTTCTAATTCTAGTTTTGTTTTTACCCTGTTGGTCTTATTTTATATCTTACCCTATTGGGAATATGTAATAGTTCCTATTTGGAAAGATATGGGTGTATAGTCTTGCCTTATTTCATTAGGTTAAGATCCTTGATATGTATAAATATATGGCCTTATGGTCGAGGTAATACAAGTTGAACATTATGAAGATCTAAACTTATCATGGTATCAGAGCCATGTTAACGCAAATTCCGACAAACCACTTCAACTTGTCATGGTATCAGAGCCAGGTTAACTACTTCAACGGGTCGTGGTCGTGGCAATGGACCTCGTGAAAATTCAACTCAAATTGTTAACGCAAATTCGGCGTCTGCTAGTTCTCATGTGGCGGTAACTGATACTGATCGCCAGGGTCTAAGCGGCATCACCGATGAGCAATGGCAGCTCATACAGCGTGTTATCAATGAAAGCAAACCTACTGAACGATTAAGTGATAAGGATGACATTTCTTGGATTTTAGATACCGGAGCCACGCATCATATGATAGGGAGACTTGATCTTCTTGAAGAGATAAGGGATATTGATCCAATCTCTGTTATATTACCTGCTGGGTGGACTGTCCTTTCTACAAAACAGGGCACAATTCGGCTTAGTTCCCACTTATCTCTTATGAATGTTTACTTGGTTCCCGGTTTTCATACGAACCTGATTTCTTTTGGTCAGTTCTTCACAGATAACCATCTGGTTGGTCAAGTAACAGATAAACTTCTTATTTTGCAGGACCGCACTACGAGGATGCTGATTAGAGTGGGTGAACGAGAGAGAGAGGGAATGTACTGGTTTCGGGGAATTGAAGTTCCAGCGGCTCTACATACAAAAGTCTGCAATGATCTTACTTTGCGGCATAGTCGTCTGGGACATCCATCTCCGCGTGTTACCAGCCTGGTTCCTGGTTTACGTAGCTAACCTAGTGATAGTGATATCTTATTTCAGAATTGTGATGTGTGTTTAGGAGCTAAACAGACTCGGCAGATTTTTTCAGAAAGTTCTAATAAAGCGAATGCAGTTTTTGATTTGATTCATTGTGATTTATGGGGGCCTTATCGTACTACTGCATTTTGTGGATCTCGCTATTTTTTGACCAGCGTTGATGACTATTCACGAGCAGTCTGGTTATACCTTTTACCCGACAAAGCAAAAGTTGCTCAACATCTGCGAGATTTTTTTTCCATGATCGAACGTCAATTTTCCAAGAAAGTAAAGACCATTCGCAGATAATGACACTGAGTTTCTGTGTCTTACGAGTTACTTTCAGGAACATGGGATTATACATGAAACCGCATGTGTCCAGACTCCGCAGCAGAATGGTCGAGCTGAACGGAAGCCCAGACATATCCTTAACATAGCGAGAGAATTGAGGTTTCAGGCTCATCTACCTATTGAATACTGGGATGAGTGTATCCTTGCGGCAGGACATCTCATCAATAGAAATCTTTCGGCATTACTGGACAACAAGACACCATTTGAAATTTTGTATGGAACAGCTCCGTCGTACAAACATTTGCGAGTTTTTGGGTGTCTGGCATTTGCGCACAACCAGGATCACAGAGGTGATAAGTTCAGCTCTCGTACGCACCGATGTGTGTTCTTAGGTTACCCGTATGGAAAGAAGGGTTGGAGATTATATGACTTGGAACTAGGGGTGGGCGTTCGGGTACCCGTTCGGGTTCGGGTCGGGTATTTCGGGTCTTCGGGTATTTAAGTATTAGGGTTTAGAACCCGTTCGGGTATTTTTACATATCGGGTCGGATTCGAATATTTTTAGTTCGGGTTCGTTTATTTCGGATCGAGTTCGGATATTTAGATTTTGAAAAAGAAAATTCAAATTCTTTATTACTTAAGTTTCATGTATTTAAAATTTAACTATTAACTTAACTGTTTTAAAATGTTTAATAAGTTAGGCGATTAATAAGTTTGAAAATAAATTATTGAAAATAAAAATCATTATTTTGGTTGTTATTTTCGAATTTTGGATGCAAATTTTGTTTAAAATATGAAATAAGAAGCTTAATATACATTTTAAATGAGTAACAAATCATTTTTTTACAATTATATGTATATTATCTGATCTTAAACTATATATAACATTAATATAAATA